TCAGTATAAATTTCAACTTTCCAGCTCTGATAGCCTTCGAACGGCAGCCCGTCAAAGTTTTGGTCTTCACCCCATTGAAAATGCAGTGCAGAAAGACGCTATAGGCGGACTGCCAGACCCAACCCCCTCACTAAAATGGCCATAACTCGGCCAATTTTGACCCGAGAGGTACAATTTTTGTTTGTAATGATAACTTATCATTTCCTCCATCTATTTCAGTAGAAACCAGAATTTCGAACTTTTTTCATACTTTGGCCAAAATCGACTTTAAAGTTGTACCCTTGATTTCAAGAGGAAAATCGCTCACATTTTGGTTTGGGAAAACCGAAAGTGCCGTAACAGGCAGAGTTTTCATGATAGGGGGCTGAAATTTGGAACACAACAACTTCAGATAGGTGTGTACCTTCAGTGCAGAAAGACGCTATAGGCGGACTGCCAGACCCAACCCCCTCACTAAAATGGCCATAACTCGGCCAATTTTGACCCGAGGTACAATTTTACCACTAGTCCGTGGTCCGTGCTATTTCTAGCTATTTCTAGAAATCCTCTTAGTTCGTTAAATTTTTAGAAATCCTTTTTCTTATGAGTTTTCCGGATGCCTATTGTTTGATTAGTTTTTGGTGAAGAGATTTGGAATTTGATGTCTGATTCTTTCATATTTTGTGAAATAAGAGATTTTCTTGCGGAGGGAAAATTCCAATGATAGTCGTTTTGTGTAAGTAACAGTCAAACAGATGTTGACAAAATGTAGTGGTCTACTTTCAGTTAAGTTCGCTCAAGATTTTCATGGTCGTGATATATCGAATTTTGTTTTCAGAACCGAAGTAGACAAAAGGCTGACATATTGGACTAGATTTCTTGAAAAAGTTACAGTAGGCTGAATTTCGAGATTGAACATGGAAACTGATGTCAAATTAATTGATGGTCTCGGTCCTGGTCCAAAAACAATTAATACTCTTTGCACTCATAGATATCCTGTAATAGTTACTTAATGATAGAGCTTTTCTGTCCAATGTTCGCGCTTGTGGACTCACTCCACTATTTCATTTGCCATCTCTTCCCATGTTAAAACACGAAATTCAACCTTTACAACTTTTTCCAGACATTTCGTTAAAAGCTTTCCAATATGTCGAATGAAAGCCTGACCAATCCTTAATGTCTCCTAAAAAATTCAATATATGATGACCATGAAAATTTTGAGCTACTAAAATTGAAAGTAGACTACTACCGGTTATACTCATCCGCTAGAGTTTGGCTGTTCACAAAACGACTATTTTTAGAATTAGCCTTCCG